CTATGATTCACCACAATGTAAATGTACCTGTCCTTGGCATGTAGGAGTAAGTACAGGAATAATTAAATAAACAAATCATCCTTCTTCACTATCCACTTTAAAATTCTTTTTATGGCAAATTGAATTAATCTTTAGCCAAAGCCAGCCCATTAGAATTGGAAAGTTAAACACTTTTTCATTACTCAGCCTATAATTCACAAGTAAATAAAAATTATATCTCTTTCAAAATATTTTTCTGTGATTGTGGTACAGGTGAAATTGTCTCCAAAAATATAATTCAAAGAACAAAATTTTTTGATCAACAGGATTAATGCAAAATAATACAAGGACCTAGTCACAGTAAACAGATCATCCTATATGCAACTACATACATAAACCTGTCTGTATGAATCTTTATAGCAGCTCTATTAGTTATTGCAAAACACTGAAGAGAACCCAAATGCCCTCCAATTGGTGAATGGCTGAACAAACTTTGGTATACTGATGCAATGGACTACTACTCAGAATAAAAAGGAATGAACTACTGATACACGTCACATTCTTAACCTCAAAGGTTTTATGCTTAGTAAAAATTCAATCTCATAAGTTTACATGCTATCTGATTCCATTTATATAACATTCTCAAAATGACAAAACTACAGAGATAAAGAACAGGAGGAAGGTAGAGAGGTGGATGACACTACAAAGGGGTAGCATGAGAGAGAATGAGAATCTATACCTGGAACAAAAACTACACCTACACACACATGAATGCAAGTTAACAATGGTAAAAAAGGTAATAATGTCTATAGTCTAGTTAATAGTAATGTATCAATGTCAATTTCCTGGTTTCGATATTGTATTATAGCTATACTAGAGGCCTGGTGCATGAATTCATGCATGGGTGGGGTCCAGCCAGCCTGCCCCAATTGAGGCCGATGGGGCCAGGCCAGCCAGGGGGAGGGGACGCAGGAGGCTGGACAGACAGCCCCGCCCCTTGGTCAAACTCCCAATCTAGGGGACAATTTTCATATTAGCCTTTTATTGTATATCACCTTTGGGGGAGGCTTATACAGGTGAAGGTGAAGGATAGAAAGGATTCTTTGTACTATTTTTGTAATTTCCTATAATTATTTCAACATAAAAGTTTAAACAAACAAAAATGGTTGTTGGTACAAGAGCCTGTATTTGAACTTGTGCTACTGCCCTGTGTACCCTACTGCCTACAAAATGTTTCATTAAAATATATCAAATATGTATTATTTCCTACAGAGAAGGATATAATATATAAAAGGCTCATCTGGATTAATCTTAAAGAAATCTAAGGAAATTCAAAACATTTTATTAGGAAAAAAATAAGATACTGAATCATTTCATTCATGGCAACTGAGCCCAGGCATTCCAATGTACTAATACAGACATGGAAAGAGAACATTGGGAGTCTGATAGAAAGTGATGACTGCGCTGCTTTGGCACCTTGACTGCAGGCACTGCCTCTCTTTCCTTCTCACTAGAGGCAGCCCGAAGGTCTCCTGCCATGTTATCTTGTTCACCAGGAAGGTCAACAGCTGTTCCTCTCCCTACACACTAGGTAGACAAACTGCACAGCAGAAAGCTATAAATAGTCATTACACTGTACATTTGGCATCTCTTTTCCATCTACCCTGATGAGGTTTCCTTGTGAGATACAGAACATGGCCAAATTATAATCATCACAGCCAGAGAGATGAGCTAAAACGTGCCAAATGGTTTTTGGGACAGAGTGAAAGTTGCTTCCTGGCTTCATATTGATTCATTAAAACCTTGTACACATGTCATGGCAACTACAAAAAATTACACATGCTGTATAGGTAATGACAAAGAATCGAAATAGCGATTAAATGTTTTCCTGTTAGTGATGTTTTCCTGTTTCACGTCATTTTATTTTATTTCAATAAAAAATACCAGTAAAAAGTATTTGTTATTATTTATAAATCAAATAAAACATTTTTTAAAAATCAGAGCCAATCTGGTTCATTGTGTCAAGTCCCCAGTGCTGAATGTGCTATTGGTCAGAGGTGCTACAAATTCAATTGCTTGTAGCTCATTTCAACAAATATATAATATCAAGTGTTTATTAAGAACATAAGGGCAGGATATTGCTGTAGGAGATAACATAAAAAATGAAAGACACTAGTCTGTAGCCTCAAGAGGGAGATAAACAGGTATATATTTAACAAAACCCAAGAATTACTGCTATTATTAAGTGTGCTAACGTGGCAATTCAATATTATGAAATAATAAGAGACAACTCATGAAAGTGGTCTTCAGGTATTTAAGAAGAAAATACATGTCATCAGTTATGCTCCACAGGAAAAAAATTAGAATCAATGGCTAAAAATTACAAGAATATATAGAAAGTTGGTTACACACACACACACACACACACACACACACACACACTTTTAAAGATCTTGAGACTATCATACTAAGCGAAATAAGTCAGACAGAAAATGGTTATGGACAGAGACTTAATTTGGGGTGGTAAACATACAATACAGTGTACAGATGATGTAGAATTGTGCAACTGAAACTGTATAATTTTGTTAACTAGTGTCACCCCCAATAAATTCAATAAAAAGGAAAACAAAGAAATAAGTCAGACAGAAAAAGTCAAGAACCATCTGATTTTACTCTTATGTGGGATATGAAACTGAAAGCAACAAATGAACAAACAAGAAAAACAAACAAAAAACGCTTAGACACAGACAACAGCATGGTGGTTACAAGAGGGAAGGGGATGAATATTAAAGGGTAAAGGGAATCAAATATATGGTAACAGAAAAAGATTTTGGTTGGTAAACACAGTATGCAGATGATGTACCATAGAAATGTATACTTGATGCCTATATAATATTTTTTTAATCCTCACTCAAGGATATGTTTATTAATTTTTAAAGAGAGAGGAAAGGGGAGAGAGAGAGAGAGAGAGAGAGAGAGAGAGAGAGAGAGAGAGAGAGAGAAACATTAATTGGTTGCCTCTAATACACAGCCCCATGGGGATCAAATGCACAACCTAGGTGTGTGCCCTGACCAGGAATCACACCCACAACCTTTTTGGTGTAAAGTATGATGCTCCAACCAACTGAGCCATCCAGCTGGGATTATATAGGGGAAACCTATATAATCTTATTAACCAATGTCACCACAATAAGTTTTTGAAAAATAAAAATAAACAGATAAATATTTTTAAATTAAAGCCCACATTTATAGAATTAATTAGCATAATAAATCACTGACAACTTAATAACTACAGTGATATCTGATTAAACCTCTGTACTGAAGAAGAGTTTATGAGACCTTGCAAGGGCCTGTCTCCTCCAGAGGCCCCCAAGATCAGAGAAAAGCATCTTGGTACCCAGACAACAAATGAACAGTCTATAGAGACTAGATAGAAGGGAGACATGTTGCCTGCAAGGTAATCTGAAGATGGAATTCTAATCCAAAAGAAGTGTCTCATAAATCACCAAGAAGATCCTCTCTCTTTAGAGAGGCAGCAGAGGAGAAAGGAAGTACAGAGGTATCAGAAGAAGAGAAAGCGAAAACCTGAGCTCTAATCATGGCAAAGCAGATACAGTACAAAGTGACTGACAGCCAATTCTGAGGGAAGAACAAGCTGGCTAGGCTTCCAGACTTCCTGCTAAGCTGCCAGAACCATGCTTATGATGAACAATGTTAGAGTTCTTCATGACACTCTTTTATTTACCTATCAAGGCATGTTCCTACTATCCTGTGTGAATTTAATTATCAGAGAGAACCTTAAGACAAACTTGAACTTTACCTCAATCCTGTACCCCTGGAAAACAGGAACATTCAAGAAATTGACCTCCCCCCCCACTCTTCCTCATGTAACTTAGATAAAACTCACGGACAACCCCTTGTAACCTATGACAAAACCAAGGCATAGACCCTACAAATTTCCATCCTTTAATGATCAGATGAACTATTTGTCCCCATCAACCATTCTGGTTGGTCAAACCTGGACTTGATCAAATTTTAGTCAGGTTTACTCCTTCTTCCAAGCCTCTGAGTTTTGACCCATTCTTGAAAATGGATGGTTAACAGCCCCTCCTTGACGACCCCTCTCAAGAATCAGTTGACCTCAGGGAAAAACATTCCCTGATCCACTGTCTGATCATGCCACTCATTCACCCCCTTGCTCCACACCCAATTCTTTTTAGCCTATTCATTCTTCTCTGAAAAAAAATAAATAAATAAAAAGCCTTATTTTGCTTGACCTTTGAGGTGTTTATAGTTCTCATAGTTGAAGTGGTTCTTCCTATTGCAATACTAATCCTTCTCTTTTTGCAATAGTCCTCCTCTCTTATTGAAATCATCTTTTTAAATAAAGCCAACATTTAATTTTAAGGAATCACAGCTATTACATATTTCTTGATATATAGCCACATAGTAAGATACATAGGAGATCCAGACCACCATATACTAGTATAACACTGTTATTTTTCAGTGTTCAAACATGAAAATGACTTAGATAATTGATTATTAAAATAGTTAAAATAAATAATTCATAGCTAATATGAAAAGTTGAAACCAAATAAGTGAGGTTTGGAAATCACAGAAAAAACTTCTTTACATTTTATTTTTGTATAGTATAATTCAATCATCTCTTTATAACCTATCCTTTTTTTAAAAAAAAAAGCTTAGGAAACTTGTTTTTATATTGGCCAATTGTTACCTCAAGCATAAAACCAGCAGTAATACAGCTGCTAAATTTCTTTCCAAAGAATTTTCTGTAAAATCTGTCACCTTTCCATTGCTCCAGTATCCTCTTCTCTACTATGTAGTCAGCACATTAACTGTGGCACATACACAAAAATAAATCCTCAAGCAGAAAAATACATATGACATTTCTATACCAGGAATGATATCTTTTTCTATGATACTAATATTCCTGTTTATAAAAATATTTTAAATAAGAAATACTTGTATAACAGATACATTTAAAAAAGTCAACTACTCACCCGCATTGACTATAGCGTCTACCTCTAGCAATGTGATGTCACCTCTATAGAGAGAAACTTTTTCACTCAAATTTTTCTTCACCTGTGATGTTTCCTGAGTATTTTCTTCTATAATAAAAAAGAAATATATATTAATAGTAATATTCTTAATCAATTTAGTAAATATAATTTTGATACAAAAGCCAATATGAGTCACACTCTAATATATTAGACAAGTGGAAATAAATGTGTAAGTTATCAGGGGTGTGCCTTATTTTCCACATATTGTGTATTCCTAAATACAAATGCAGTATCATGTATATAAAAAGCACTCAATACATGTAGTCATGTTACATTGGTCAACCAAAAAATAAATGTTTATTATTGTTATTAAAATGTCAATTTTGAAATAAAATTATGTAGCACCAGTTTCACAAGGCGATAAGAAAAATATACACAAATACCAAGACAAAACAAATTTTCACAGTGAATGAGCTTATTTCTACTTTGTTCAGTTACCTAAAAGACATTATTGAAAATAATATTTACTCAGAACAAAAACATATAGATTCAGTTCTTTGCTACTTCTAACTAACAAGCTATCCCTCAGAATGAAGTGGATTAAGAATATTTGAATGTGTAAAACTACTCATTTCTTAAATTATATTAACCTTTGACTCTAGAAGGCACTACTAGATTTAAAAGAGAAATAGCTCCGTCCTACACACAACAGCCAGCAAGGTAGTATAATTAAAAGTAAAAGATTACATTCTAAAACCCGACATTTTAAAATGTTTCAGAGAAATAATATAGCCTGCATTTTCTTTTAAACAAATAGTAATGTTAAGACATTAAACAAAGCTATATGAAATTAAAATACAATAAAATGTTATGCTTTTTAAGATATCTCTCAAAAAACTGATTTATGGACTCCAATTTTTTAAAATATTCATGATTTGTGCAAATCTTTCAATGGGGATGATAATGCTATTAATTCACTATGATTCTCTCAGATGAGCATACAATTTGAGGTATCTGAATGATTAGAGGTGACAGGTTATGTCACTTGAATTGTCTTTGGGACCCAGTAACCAAAGAAAAAATTGTTTTCAATCAAGTATCAATATATTTATTACTGTTGTTGTTGTTACTATTCCCTATCAGTGAAAGAGATTGGACTTTTTGTGCTCTTACCAAGCTACCAGTGACTGGCCCAAAGACAAAGACTTTGAGCCAGAAGACTTTGAATTCCACATCCAATCAATTTCAATTCTTACTACTTTTACCAAATTAGAAAGACCTGTTTCCAATTAAAGATTGTTGAATGACAACAAATACTTGGTGGCTTTGACATAAATTTCTGGATATTTGGACTATTTGAATCTAGACATTTATAGACCTTTCAGTGAAGACAGGTTCAGAATTCCATCAGGCATTAAATTGAAAAGCATATCACAAATGAAAGTGAAAGGTTAATTGTTTAAACTTGGGTGAAAGAGTTAAGGATTCCTAATCCATCCTCCAGTTGCATCTTTTTAAGAGAGAGAGAGAAAGGAAGGGGAGGGAGGAAGAGAGAGAGACAGAGAGAAATAGAAACATTGACTTGTTATTCCACTTTTTTATGTATTCATGGGGGAATTTTGTATGTGTCATTGGTGGGGAGCTCTCTGTGTCTCCATCTGCTGTTGCTGGAAGTGGGCTTCTTGGATGTCATGAGAAAAAGAATTTTCTGAGATTCATACAGGAGAAGAAAGTATTGTAAAAAGCTTTATTTCTTTGCAATCAAACCCCTTAGTTTCCAAGGTCCTATTTCACTCTGTCCCACCAAAGAAAAAGTCTCATTTTGCTTTCAGCAGAGTTAGGATTAAAGCCGTTGTCCAGAGTTTCCATTCCATGTCTTCACAGCCTAATCCAGCATCAGGCTAGCTTAGTTTGTGTTCCTAGCTATAGTCCATCATTCCATTGCATGTGGGAGCCACAGGACCAGATGGCTTTTGAGGGAACATGGGCAGGAGCAAAACCAGATGAACAGAGAGCCAACAGCCAAGAGAGAGAGCTCCTTTGTCTGCGGAATTATATATTCCCAAATTTTGGGAGGCTTGCAATGGCCCCACCCCCTCTGGCCAATGATTTCTGTCCCCGGTTAGACTAAGAGGCACCTTCCCTACATCACCCCAACTTTACTGAGCAAGTGTCCAACTTTCCCCTTGCCCAGTGATCTCCAGGGAATGGATTGGTGCTACCCTAGAGAGTGTGAAATTGTAGTTTCCTGGTGAAGCTGCCCAGATGGCCATGTTTATAAAGTCTGGCCTCCCTTTTGTTCCTTTCCAATTATTAATAACTAGCTCATTACAATGGTATCACGCTGACTGGGGATCGAACCCGAGACCTTGGCCTATCAGGATGACATTCTAACCAACTGAGCTGCCTGGCCAGGCTTCCTAGTTGCATTTAGTTCTGAAAAGTATTTCTTCACTTTTTTCATGAAGCATATGTATGTAATATTGAATGTAGAGTAATGTGACTTTTAATGTGACAATAAACCATGTATTTCGGCAAAATTTAAATAATGGTATTGGAAAGTATCAAAGTTTAAACCATTTGTACCACAGTCCAGTTTTCTTAAATCCTAATTTCTCATCTTCAAGCTTTAAAAAATGAAATATTTTGAGCCTAAATAAAGGTTCAAGCAGTTGAATATATTGAATAAATACACTGCTCTGGCAGGTCAGTCAAGTAAGTTATTCAAACTGATCTTATTAGAATTATCAGCAACATAAATATTTTTCTCTCTCATGAGCATCTTTTTTCCTCCTAGCCAGACTTATACTTGCTGCCCAATTCCTCACATGGTCTATCAAAAAGGCAGAAATGTACTCAAAAACTACAATTAATAATATTAATAATTATCAGCATTTCCTGATCAACAATAAACCAAAACCAAATGGCATAGTTTTGACCACCAACTATTTTCTGTAACTACAACAATGTAAATTACCACTAGAGGCTACTTATTTTATTTGAACAGCAATGCACTTCTTTTTCACACAACTGTGTTCCATCAGCACTGATTCAATCTATATCCTGGGTTTTCATTAATACATAAGACAGAACACTGTCAAGTATCACTCCCTCATGGGCATTCTATATGTGCACAAAGCACCAATTCACATTTTGTATATTACTGGATTTATCTAACTGCAAGTTGAAATATCTGTCGGTGCGCACTTATGATAGTAATTGTTCTTCCAGATTGTATACTATTGATTATATTTTTTAAAAAAACAGAGAGAGATAGAGAGTAAAATAGTAAAAACAACTTTTATTCAGACATGGCTGCAATAGGAGAAAAAAGACCTCAGTATAGAACAGGGCTCAATAGCAAACACAGAACAAATGGGTTTTTATAGCCAAGGAACAAAGTGGGAATCAATGGAAGGAAAATTACTAAAAGGAAACACTGGGGATGGAGGGAAATTGTGGTTAAACAGACTTAGGACTCTTACTACAGGCAGGCCAGGGTTATCAGATATAACCTGGGGAATAGGGGCAGAGGTGTGGAATTTTGATTAGATATTGAGGGTGATTAGATATAAAGGGTAGGGAATTCTCTCTAAACTGATTAGGCAGGATTCTTGCTAAAACTGTGCTATGCAAATCTTGGCAAGGATGGGGCCAAGTTGAGAAAAGAGCTTAGTGAAATCACACTAAAGTTTAGTTAAGAGAGTTGTCAGTCTCTCCTCTCATTCAAGGAAAAAAGAGACATTCTCCTTTCCTTTGATCAATGTAAGTCCATTTTTCATTAGGTTGTCTTTTGTTCATTAAGGACCAAATAAACCAACAATTGAGACTTGGCAGTAGATGATATTGGCTAAGGTGATGTGAGCAGTCAGGCATTTAGTGAAGATGTCTATGAAAATAAAAAGAAAAATAAAGATTAATGGATGGAGCTGCCTCTATAAACCCAATTTGAGTCCAGAGGGCAGACAGTTGAGAAGATTTCTTCATGTTGGGCTAGAACCATATTTTGCAGTTTGAATGTTCTTGGTGATGGCATCAGGTGTTCCAGTGAATTTTCTGAAGGGCCCACACAACAGCAGGCATGAAGATCGACCACACATGATGTGTTGTGATGACTTCTTTGAGATTTATATATCAGGTCCTCCAGCTTCTACTTGCAGGGATTCAGGAAAGGGGCAGTTTTAGTTCTCGGTGATGCCAAAGCAAAAGGAGGGAAGAAAAATTAAAAACATTTCAACAGTTGCAGCCAAATATTGGAGGAAACTAGACTTGACAAAATGTTCAAGACAATAAATAGGGCTTGAATTTGATAAGCCACAGAGGTACACATTAGTTTTCCACTGAAACATAAAAAGTGTCTCTAAAGTCACCTCCCCATTTTTATTCTTGTTTACAAAATAAGTTGTCTCATTAAGTCTGGCCTGATTATTTACATAAGTGCAACAAGAATGGTAATTGACCACTTAGCTCCTTTGAGTTTGCTTTCCTGGAACTTTTAATAAAGATTCTCAGGTCAGACTTTTTAAAACTTCTCAAGACTAGGAAACCAAACTTCTCAAGACTAGGAAGCCAAGCCAAGAACTAGATAGAGTCTGCAATACCTATAATTTGTTGAATTCCTCTATCCTCACATTTCCAAAAATATCCTAAAATTCCTAGGCTTGCCAGAAAGTAACCTGCCTTACTTAGCCACAGGGCTGGGAACCCTGTAAACCAAGTACATGGCTGTTATTTCCAAAAGGGCTGTGTAAGCATTAGCTCTATAAAGTCAACCTTAGTTCCTCAAAACTCTCTGATAATATCTGATTCTGTACACCATTCTGAAGTATGACTTTCCAGTTAAAGCCTTAATTATACAATTCTTTTTATGTTTGAATTTCTTTAAATTTTTATTGTTCCAAGTTTTACATATGTCCCCTTTTTCCTCCCATTGACCGCTTATAGTCCACCCCTGCCTCCCATTCCAGGCCTCCACCACCCTATTGTCTGTGTCAGTGGGTTACGCATATATACATACAAGTTCTTTGGTTGATCTCTTCCCATCCATCCACCCACCCCTCCCTTCCCTCTGATATTTCACAGTCTGATCCATGCTTCTATGTCTTTGG